AGTGTTTATTTTTGTACTTTCTGCATGTGTAGAACGTGAGGTTAAAGCACTGAAGTTTTGCCCATCTTTTCATATGAATTTTTTTCCCTTGTTTTTCTCTAAATAGGCTCATTTTGCATCAGCACTGACAGTTGTTTTTGTGAACTCTAAGTCATTATCATCAATCAAAATAGATGATACACCCCTTGATGATCCTTCCTTGAAGGTTCTTGTTGCTAACAACAGTGATACTCTAAAACTGCTAAAAATGAGCAGCTGTCCTCATGTTTCACCTGCTGGTGAGTACTGAATGTATGTGAAAAATGGAGTTGTAAAGCATCATAATTAACTTAGTCTTGAGTTGGACAGTTGGAAGGTGGAGAAGAAAGTGGTTGTTAGTAAATGAGTTGGGTTTGTGAAGGTGGAGGTGCCACTCGCTTGACTGCATCTTCTGGATTCCTGGAGACTTTTTTTTCATCCAGCTGCTTTGCTACCTCTGATGATAGGCCTTGAGGAGGAAAAGCCTCCAAAATTAGTGCAAGCCTTTCACAGATGCTCGAAGGACATGATATTCATTGCTTTAGTATGTGATGGTAACCCAATGGGTGCTCCTTAATGTATGCAGACTTGTAAACTTAAGTAACTGGTGTTCTGTGTGAACACCACAGAATCCCTGATCCATGAATCAGCTACTACTTGGTGGGATAAAGGAGATTATAACAGTTGTCAGTAATTGTTTTGCAAGGTGCTGTAAGTGTGTACAAGTTTCAGAAACCTGTGGCGTAAGACTGAGTGTTTCCAGTTTCCAGAGTGTCCTTGTGTTCAGATCTGGGACTGGTAACTTCCTCATTGGTTGGTGAAGGACTCACTCCCTTCAAAATACAGCCTTGCTGAAAGTTCAGAGGGCTTCAAGGTCCCTTCTTACTTGCATTTCTCCTGAAACCTTAGTGCTGGGGAAAGGGAGTCTGGGTCTGGTCTGTTCCTGTATTCTTTTCTGGAGTCCACAAAAAGTGACTTAATCCATGTACTTCATATTCCAGCAGATTAGGAGGAGTTATTGTTATTTAGGTCTCAATTCACGGAAGGTTGTAGCTGTTAAACTGGGTGATGGTGATTTAAATAGCTTAGTTGAAAGTTGAAGGAGTGAGTATTAGGGAAGGGAATGGTGGCAACTTGAGCTGAGTGTGACCTGATTTCAGTTGCTTCTTCAAAGTTGAGGAAATTCTGCCTAGGGAGGGGAAAAGAGAAGGGTATGCAGATCCAAGATGAATGTGACTTGTGTCTTTTACTGTGAAGCGTTAATGGCCAAAACCCTGTAAAAGGTTGTGGATACCTAGAACTTGGATATTTCATGGGGTTGGATATAAGCAAGAAAACTCAAGCCAACTTTACAGAGAACAACTGTGCTTATATTCACTTTTCATTTTAGAGAGTAAATTTTTTTGTTCCTCAGGCATTCTTTGTGTGGCTGATCAGTGCCATGGACTTAAAGAGCTGGCTTTGAACTACTATATATTAAGTGATGAACTGCTGCTGGCTCTTTCAAGTGAAAAACACGTTGATCTCGAACACCTTCGCATCGATGTTGTGAGTGAAAATCCTGGACAAGTTCAATTTCACACCATTAAAAAGCAAAGCTGGGATGCTCTTGTTAAACACTCCCCCAAAGTCAACATCGTGATGTATTTCTTCTTGTATGAAGATGAATTTGACGCTTTCTTCAGAGAGGAAACACCCGTTACACACCTGTACTTCGGTCGTGCAGTGAGCAAGGCAATGCTGGGTCGCATTGGCATGAACTGCCCCAGGCTGATCGAGCTGGTCGTGTGCGCCAATGGACTCCAGCCTTTGGATGATGAACTCATCCAGATTGCTGAGCGCTGTAAGAACCTAACGGCCATGGGGCTGGGGGAGTGTGAAGTCACCTGCAGAGGTTTCATTGAATTTGTAAAGATGTGTGGGGGCAGGCTTACTCAGCTCTCTATAATGGAGGAGGTGCTGATTCCAGACAGTGATTACAGCTTAGATCGGCTTCATCTGGAAGTCTCCAAACACCTTGGAAGAATGTGGTTTCCTGATATGATGCCAACGTGGTAAATTTTATGTCTGGATAAAATGGTAGAATTGGGGTGTCGCTTTCTATGCAAATAAAAAAATTTAAAAATTAAATGTGAAAACTTTCTTCCAGATTTGAGTTTTTCTTCCTTGAGAAAACCTCTATTAGACTAACAGCAAAACACTCTACAATATTAATTGTGTATTGAAATAGAAAATAGATTTAAGTGTACTTAACAGTTCTGCAAGTATGTCTGTGGTTTACAGGTGCTTCAAACTTCAGTGAATTTGGGCTTCTCTGAGCTTCAGTTTAAACATTCCATTTACTTTAAAGTGGGTTTGGTTTGTATTTTTTTATGTCTTTATTTACTCTTTCTGATGTAGTCAGAAGAGGAATAGAGAAACTATATTACTTTAGAAAATCTATCTGTGGAAAGCTGGATAGAACTTCGAGTACAGTATTATTTGTCATGATGTTTCATATAGCTATTTTTTTTAATTATTCATGTTTTAATTGTAAAAGCTTGTATATTAAAATACACTATCCTGGGTTAATCAGCTATATAATCTAGCTTAAATTCATGGCAGTATAATAAAATGATAATAAGCTTATGCTTACAAAAAACTTTCCAGTTCTAAATTGCACTTTAAGTGATTTTGTCACATTACAGAAACTAGGGAATGCATTGTACAGTATATTGTTTTTGTCTTTTTCATTAAAAGGATTGGAAGGAGTTTTTGTTAAAATTACTGATTTTAAGTTTGGTTCTAGATTGATTGCTTGAGTGAGCATTAAAGCACTTTGGAAACTATTAGGACAATAAGGAATAGCTTTAGATTTGGACTCAAGTCTTTGTAATCAAAGACTGATGTCTGAATGCTGTTCCATGATTTCGTTCCTATGAAGAAGGGTTTCATAAATGTGACTGGTAAGAAGGAAAGATCAAATGCAATACAGTTGTCTTTGATTCATTTCTATTTGGAATCAAGGATTTAGAGCACTTAAGGTTGTCACTTAGAGGGCAAAATGGACATTAGTAGTCTCACCTGTATCTTACAGAGCTTTGTGTAAGCCCTGATTTCTAGAGAAAGGCTTGCTGGAGGTAATCCTGAAATATTTTATTCAGGACTGTTTAATACTTATTGCTATTAATTGTTTTTTGAGAAAGATTGTATTATATTTATTTTCTTAAAAGGGGAAAGGCATGATGAGTAAATGATGTAAATTAGAGTATGTATTTTTGTGTTAACATTTTGCACACTGTAAACTTAAATGCATTGTATATAAATCTTTGCTGTAATGATTTTGGTGCCACACTTGTTCCATCTTCCTATTGATAATGAGAAGTCTACAAGAATTTGCTGGTGGTGGTTGTCACTGTTGTGGCTTAACCCTGGCTGTCAGCTGAGCCCCTTACAGCCAGAGGGATGGGAGAGAGAACTGAAAGGTAAAAGTGAGAAAACTCATGGCTGAATATAAAGAGTTTAATAGTAAAGCAAGAGCCACACAGGCACGCAGCCCCCAACCAGGGAATCCATTCGCCACTTCCATCAGCCATCTCCAGGAAAGCAGGGCTCCATCACCCGTAAACACCCCGCTTCCTCCTTCTCCCAGCTTTATATGCTGAGCCTGATGTCATACAGTATGGAATGTCCCTTGGCTCAGCTGGGCTCAGCTGTCCTGTCCGTGTCACCTCCCAGACTGTGCACCCTCAGCCTCCTGCCTGAGGGACAGTACAAGAAACAGAGCTGGGCTGGGCTCTGTGTAGGCAAAAACATCCCCACATTACCAATGCTGTTCCCAGTACAAATCCACGGCCCCCTTCTAGCTCCTGTGAAGCAAATTAACTACCCCAGCCAGAACCAGTGCATTCACAGCAGAGAATAAGTTTCTTCCCCACTTCCACAAAACAGCTAAAGGGTTAAAACAACCATTTCTTGGACTTGTTCCTAGCTGGAAGCCCAAGGGTTCAAGGTAACACGTAGACCTGAGTCAGTAATGCTTTATTGCCTGTTGCACAGTTAAAGAAGCATTTGTCTGACCCTGTTTAGTAGATGCTGTGAATCCAGGGATTATAATTTGAACACAAAACTGAAATACTACCCAACAGTCTTTGGTTCAAGATGTGTGGTTTGCTTCAAATGGAAATGAAATAAAGTGGTTTAATCCACTGATACTAGATGGATCTATCTGTTGCACTGTGTTCTCTTGGGGTTCGCTGGAAGCCACGTGTGTGACAAACCTTGGGAGAGACTGGAGAGTGGCAAATCAGCCATTGCCATTTCATGTTTGTGCCTGAAAACTGATTTCTGACATGCAAACCATAAAATGGAGTGTGGACAAAGCTTGTGAGTTATTGGAAAGTCCTGGAGTCCTTTGTGTCTCTCCAGCCAACAGAACAGTGTTAGTGTATTTATAAACCCTGGTGACAGATTTACAGTTCATGGGGAAACTCTTAAAAGGCTGCATTGAATATTGTCCCTCTCTCAGTCCCTGTCACTAAGGCAGTGTTTCTGTGAAGTAGGAATCATAGAACTACTAAGGTTGGAAAAGACCTTTGAGGTAATCAAATGAAGCTGTTGAATTCAGCTTGTTCCAGCTCCAAGCTTCCAGTTAAATAGGCCTGCATTGATGAATGTTGGGATTTTTGATGCACTGATGTTTTAAAGCATTTGTTCTCCCTGATCTGAACAAGTGAGGCTAGCTGGTGCTTGGGGGAGAAGCTGACAGGAATGTGCCTTCTCTGCCACAGGAGGGAGTAAGCACTTTGCATTTTAGCTGATTTTTCAAACTTAGAGAAAGCTAGTCATTGCTAATTTCCTGGTTCTCTGGTAAATGCAAATTCCAACAAAAACTCAAATCTTTTATTGTTTTGTGAGTCCCATCCAACAGATGTTGCTTGTATAAAGCTCAAAGTATTGAATTGGTGATAATATAAACTGTTGTGTATGGGAAGAAAAACAACTTTTGGATGCTGAGATGGATTTATTTGGAATTGACTGCATTTCCATTTCAATCTCTTTGCCCTTTCCCCCTTTCAAGATTGCTTGTAGGATCCGAGTGGTCGCAGTTCTCAATGTGAATATGTGATGTGATCCCAGGAAATACTCTTTGCATCGGCAACATTCTCCCAAGGACTTGTCCCTTGGAAATCACACCCTTGTATTTTATGGGATGGATACAGAGTAGTTTTACACAGAATCCTGGTGAAAAAAATGAGGAGAGAAAACATCAGATGACTGATGAAGCATTTGTTCTTCTGTATTATATTTCAGAAATATTAACAGTGTCTGTCTTGTCCTTTCCACTGAGATAGTACCAAAATAGCAGAAATACTGTGGTCATAAAAATTAGGTAGGTAGTGGTTGGAGTCATTCATCAGGTAGGAGAGGGAAGATGGAAGGCAGGGAGAAGGTGGGAATTTGTGCTGTAGGAAAGGGAAAAGCTTGAAGACATCCTGCAGAACTCAGTTATTTGCATTGAAGCAGGGGCGAAATGCTCTGTACAAGTGGATAGAAGAAAATGTGGCTAAACTACTTGGCTAACTGCAAGGTAATACATCCTACGTGAGCTCAAGACAAAGAAATGTTAAATGAAAGAGAGCTATTTACCTGATCCCTTGATTTGGACTCCATCATCAATGGCATTTCCATTGTGGAAGAATTTAACAGGCCCAGAGAGCCGGCCAGAGAAGGGAGCATACACAGTGGCCCCGTCAGCACAGATGACATCCACTGCCCGGTGCTTCCCTTTGCCATCATGTCTGAAAACACATCATTACAGAATCTCTGGTCAGGCCCAGTGCTACAGACAGAGCTAAGGCAGCAGATGGTGAGATCTGGAAATGGATTGTTAGCATAGAAATAGTGTCAGCAAACTGGCTGAAGGATCTGCAGAGGTGTAGGTCAGGTAATGTCATGTAAGGTGGATGACCTGTTAGAATTGGAGAAGAATGCCTTTCTTCCAGGTCTTTAAATAAAACCATAGAGTCACAGAAAGTTTGGTTGTGTGAAGGACATCAAGTCCAACCTTCCACTTGAGTCAGGGTTGTTCCCAACACTAGGTCAAATCAGGCTTAGTCTGATAAAAAGCTCCAAGCAGAGAGGTGTTATGAACAATATGGGCAGCCTAAAAGTTTCCTCAAGTCCAATCTAAGCCTTCAAAGCTGTAATTTTTATGTGGCCTAAATAAAGTTTAACCCCTAGTTTAGTGGAAGTACAAAACCCTGTGTGTCTCAATAACATTACCTTGGAGCTCCATAGTATCCACAGCCATACTTATCACAGCCTCTGATCTCATTGGTAGGGTTTCCTGCACACACTGCAGCCCAGCGCCCGTCCCGTTGTGGTGATGGTGGAACAGCTTTGAAATACAGGAACACAGCACATTGGAGTTAAAGTTTACACAGGAACACAGCACATTAAAGTTCTAGATTGTTTTAACACTTGTATGATTGCAACTACTCTGTTTTATTTACAGTTAGGTAACAATATACTGACGTTACATCCCATGCTTGTAGTTGGATTCTTATCCATAACATTTGTAATCCTTTAGGAAATGTAAATGGAATGTAGACCGAAGCTGGATGGTAATGTTTCTAGATTAGAGTTATTTAATAGAAGCAACATGCTTTAAATACAAAAATTCAAAAAGAGTATCACAGGTCCTAGAGTGCAGATCTACTCTTGTTCTGAGTTGCGTATTCTGTTGTTAAGGGTTTTTTACCAGGCGTAAGCAGATGAGTAGGATCAGAGCGGTCACAGTTCTCAACGTGGATATGAGAAATAATGCCAGGATACACTTTTTGCATTGGCAGCATTTTCCCAAGTTGTTGCCCTCTCTGGATTTGGCCATGGTACCGGATGGGGTGAATACAGACAAGCTTCACACAGTAATCTGGGAGAGATGCGAGAGGAAGCGGGGTCAGGAAACATGAGCTGCTTCTGCTCCTGGGGTGAGCAAGAAGCATTCCCTGCCAGCCTCTTACTGGAGACTGTTAGGATGAAGCAGAAATGCAGTCAAGGTACCAACAATGATGAAATCAAAATTATTATATTTGCCAGGGAAAAAAGGAAAGAAGTGAGTTGGAAAATAAAGACAGAAAAACATCCTCTCAGCAAAATTGAGGATATATTTCTGGTGCTTTATTTTTACTGTTTCCTATTTTTTTATTTGGGCTTGTTATTTTCCTGCTACCTGTTTTTCAACTCTCTTCTTCCCTCCTCTACAAGAAAAGCATAGGAAAGGACTACATCCTGCTGGTGCTGTCTTCCAGTATTTCAGCATACTAGAGAGGATGCAAAATTAATCAACACTGTGCTTGAATTGAAGAACCACAGAAACCTTGCTCAAGTAAATGAAGTGATTACTTGTGCACGCCTCACAGCACATCTGCTGTTAATTACTTGCCTTCTCCCTTGATTTGGACTCCATCATCAATGGCATTTCCATTATGGAAGAACCGGATGGGTCCCGAGAGCTGCCCGCTGAAAGGAGCGTACACCGTGGCTCCGTCGGAACAGATGACATCCACACCCACGTGCTTGCCTTTGCCACCGTGCCTGGAGGCAGAAACACATAATTAGGGACATCTCTCAAGGTTAATGTTATGTATCAATTGGTCACAATGCAGGATGATAGCTGCTAACAAAAATTTTAACAAGAATTTTTAACCTGCAATGAAATTGGACAGAAGTAGCAGGTTTGAAGCATCCTTTTTTTGGTTTTTTTATAAATTGTTCACATTGCTCTGACCTTCTTTCAAGGGATGAAATTTCAAATGTAAGTTTATTTTTTATTTTCCTAAGTTAATGGGGTATTTCAAACTGCTATAGAAAAGAAACATTTTTTTTACCCCATTTTTTTTACATATGTCATGTAAAATAGAATCTTGGCTGGCATTTTCTCACTTAGAAATTTGGAAGCATGATGAAGATGGATACTTACAGAGCCTGGAGAGAGGAGATGACAAGAAAATGCAAGATTCACTCTAAATATAAAAGCATTTTTTCAGAGAAATATAACCTGTCACATGAGGTCCCTACTTAAAATTAAACCCAAGTTTTAAGTTTTTTAAAAAACAAAGTTATAAACTAAATAAGTTTTTATATTTTAGGTTTAAAACTTAAAAATACGTAAAACTACCACATTAACATCTACTTAAAGATGGTCATGCTGACAGATTTTTAGTTTGTGTAATTGAATCTACTCAGCTTCCTGTAAGCTGGTGCTGAGCATTAGTTAAATTTCTGGAGTATAAGCAACAAGGGTAAATGACACAAATCCTTGAAATACATCCATTTCCTTTACTCTGTAATTTATGTAACGGTCCTGCTCCTTCACTCCTGCATCTGTTGTCAGAAGTGGTATCACTGTGCTTCTGCAAGATTGCCAAGGAATAGCCCAAAAATCAGTGAGAGATCTTGCAGACAACAGTATTCTCCGATTCTGAGTGTCAGCTCTGTGTAACTGTACCCTTTCTTCTGCCTGAACACTTGATTTAGGGAAGCAAAGTGAGTCCTGGTGCCCGGGTAGCTGTGTTACCTGTGAGCACCGAAATTCCCGCAGCCGTATTTGTCACAGCCGCGGATCCGGTTGGTGGGGTTCCCGCTGCAGATCTGTGCCCAGTGCTGGTGCTGTTGTTGGGGAGGGTGTGCATCCAGCTGCTTGGTGAAAACTTCACATGGAAAAGAGGAAAAACAGGAAAAATTCAATCATGTTCTTAGTCCAATGCAATAAAAAGTGTTCAGGTGTACAAAATAGGGTGTTTAAAGTGAAAGACATGAGCTTGAAGCAGATTGCAATTTTAGAAACTGTAGGTAAAAGGACATTATACAACCTGCTGTATAGACTTGATCCATTTTTTCCTGATGTCTAACTTTAATGTATATATATCAAAAAGAAAGCAAAGTTATAGATACAGATGTTTAAAAATAATTTGTAAAATAAGCTATTTTTATTTTCTGAAGATGCTGGGTTGACAGTTGGACTTGATGACCTTAGAGGTCTTTTCAAACCTTAATGACTTTATAATTCTTTCTGAAACCTCCAACTACTTCAATATATATTTCTTAATGCACACCTAATTCCATATTTTATAATAGTCATAACTGTCCATATTGCCATCATTCTTCATAAAACTAGAGGGGAAAAACCTTAGCATTCTTTATGTTCAAGTGAATTTCAATAATTCATTATCATTTGCCTGAACCCAGTCAAGCCCCAGCTGCATTACAGCAATCTCAACTCACCAGTGGACACCAAGCTGACCAGAGTGACCAGACTGAGAGCTGGCATTTTGGGGCCGTGTCAGCCGTGTTCTTTGATCCAGTCCAAGATGTTGAACAGCTGCCACCTGAGGTATTTATGTGCTTTTGAAAGCCCAAGTCTGTTGTCTTGGCCAATCAGTCTCGAGCAAAGTATTACAGCTCCAGGCAGGTGGTGTTGCCATATTATGCACTGTGGAGGTCTGCAGGCTCTAACAGTTGTTAAAGCTGGTTGGGAAAGATGGATAAAATAATTGGGCTGTTAGCACACAGTAACAGATGGAAGTGAACAACCCCACATTTCAGGAAACTCTGGTTGAGCTGTTTCTTAACACCTTTTCTTCCCCATCCTGAAGTAAGGGCACATTTAGGCCAAAAATGGTGGGAGGCACAAATATGGTTTAGAGGATTGAGCTGGAGGGAAAGGGTGGTCAAAGCTCCAGAGTGGATGTCACCAGTTTGTCCTTTGCTGCTCATTCTTCCCTGGGTGTTTGTGCCCAACAGAGCTTTGTGACTGAGAACACAGGAAGTGTTTGGTGTTCATGAGTATTCACTTATGCAAAGAAAAACAGATGCTTTTGCATCAAAACATTTCTTTTTTTCTGGTACAGATGAAATTGTCAATTATTTCATTTAAATCCATGAAGTCTGTTCACTGAAACCCTAGTTTTTAACAGTATAATACTTACTAAAACATTTTCAAGTTCTGAAACAACAGTTGCACACCCACATTGCATGGGCAAAACTGACCTGGAGTCAGTTTTTTTAGGTTTTCTAGGTTTTAAAGTGATACCTTCAGTACCTTTTTGTTTTCAACTATTGTACTATAGAGCAGACTCCTTTGTGTCCTGGTAATCCTTTATTTTGATTTTTCTGCACTACTTACAGAAAAGCATTAGATTATTTTTACAGGCATATCATGGATAATATGAAATTTAAATGAGACATGGTGTTTTCACATAAATTATTTTATGTTTCAAGTTACAGAAACCTCTGGAAGCCCCACAGATTTTATTCAGAGAAGAAACAGATGTGTCTATGCCCCACTTCTAGTTTGCAAAAGCATCTGCACATTGTGTTTTATGAAAACCTCCATGGAACAAGCAGTTGGAGACAAATTTTTCACTTGCATTTCCAAGCTTTTCTTTACAGCCAATATTTAATCCCCAAACAATCTTTTAGCCCTCCCTGGGGTTACAACAAGTGGTTTGGCTGGTTTTATCCCTGCTGCTTTCTTCTCCATCCTGCCAGGAAGAACTGCTGGTTTCCACACTCATAACCACCAAACATATATATATTTATGTAAAAGCTACGTCCCTTCAGCCCAGTCTGGATGGGGCTTTTGGTTGTAATTTGCTTGATATAATGGAGTCTTGGCTGATAAATGACACAATGTGCTGGGAAGGGTTCTCAGTGGGTATTCAGGGCTTGAGAATGCTGCTTATCCCTGAACTGAAAGATGGGATGTGTGGCTTTGTGTGAACCCTGCCAGAAACAACCTGCCTTGCTTATTCTCCATTTGACACAAGCTCTCTGCAAACTCCCTCAGCTCTCCTTAACAGCAGGAGTCAGCAGGGGAGGTGGTAGGGGTGGCATTTCCAGTGAAGATTTCATAGCAGAGAGGTTGTAAAGTGTTTCTGAGCTTGGCTAGTTCTGTACTGGCTGCTGGAAGCTTTTTTTCCTGCTGCAATCAAAACCATTTAAAAATAAAGACTTTTTTCAGAGGATGCCTGGCCATTCCCAGCAGAGGGGTGTCCAGTGGGATTTCTGCAATAATGATCTCTCTCAACCAGATTTCATTTCTGATTTATTTCAGTTTGCAGTGGGAGAGTTTTAAATACCTCATTAGATAACTTCAGCCTGGGGCAGACCTGCCTTGAAGAGCTACTGATTTTTATAGACTCCTGTGAACTCAACATGCTCCAAATCTTACCAAGGAAAGAATTGCAGCACTTCAATCTGCTCTACACAGTCTTGTGTAGGAAAGGCTTAGTGAAAGCCAGCCAAGCTGGTAGGCAGGAGAAGGGGAGGTGTTAGGGGTGCACACACACTGAAGAAGCTTTTCCTTGAGTCCTGTTTTGCAGTCTGGTGCTCTGTAAAATGGCTCTAAGCTGCCTGCTCTTTACAATTTTTTTCCCATCTCTCCTGTGTGCGGGGCTGACTCCAAATTGCTCGTAACTCTGTACATTTATTTTTATTTTTTCTCCATAAGTGATCCAAACAGCATTGTATCTTGCTCTGGTCATTCAAAAACACATCAAAATACCATTGCTACTGCAATATATCTAATGCATTTGTGATAAAGTACTCTTAATAAAACAGCTTTCAAGTGTAGGATGAGGCTTTTGGGATGTTTCAGTGCCTTCCCCATCTTTCCTGGGTGAGCTGGCAGGTGCAGATCTCTCTTGGGCATGAGGAAACTCAGCCAAAGTTGGAGGGATTCTTGTGTTGGGCACCAAGATGTTAATTTAATGGTTGGTAGGTGCAGTTGTGAAAGACATGAACTGACCACTTAGCATCCAGTAACAGAAGGATGTGGAACAAGCCCTGGCATTGCACAGTCCCAGGAGCTGCAGTTGCCCCATTTCCTTCTCTGTGGTGGCAAGTGGGCACGAAGATGGAGGGGAGTCAGATGGGTTAAACTGGGAAATGCTGATTCCTTTCTTTTGCATGGGGTGTGAGGTCCCCTTTAATGTCAGCAGTAACTTAAGTGGCTGTGTAAGAAAACCCTTCAAGGTCTTCTAATGGACTAAACAATTGCTCAGCTGTCAAATGGGAATGTTTGGGCCAGTATCAGTGGATCACAGAATAACAGACTGGTTTGGGTTGGAAGGGAACTCAAAAACCATCGTGTTCCAACCCCCCTGTCACGTACAGGGACCCTTTCACTAAACCAGGTCCAAGCCCCATCCAACCTGGCCTTGAACCACTTCCAGGTATGGGGCAGTCCCAGATTCTTCGGGTAACCTGTGCCAGGGCCTCACCACCTTCACAGGGATGAATTGCTTCCCAATATCCCATCTAACCCTGCTCTCTGGCAGTGTGTCATGGTTTTAAATTGTCCCTGTTTCTTCCCCATCACCTTTTCCCCTCACCTTAAATATTTCTAGAACTGTGTATTTTACCAGCTCTCTATTTCCCTCCCAGAGTCAGCTACACATTGTATTTTCCCTTCCTCTAGACCCAGTTAATTTTTAATAGTCTCAGAAGATAAAACTGGATTTATTTATACTGTTCGCCTCAACTGTTCTGCAGCCTGAAATAGAAAGTGATATTTACTTGTTCTCTTCTGCTACTGGGTGACAGCCCCTGCTAAAACTGGAAGGTTTTATGTAGGAACATCCCTGTGCTGCTGGAAAAACTCTGATTAAATAATGGATCCCTGAAAATTCTTGGAAAACCAATCTGTGGGACACACTGGAAAAGTGCTGAGCTGTGGTAATTAATGTACAAATGAAAATGTTACTCTTGGAGGAGCAAAGCTGGGATGTTGATGGAGGCTCAGAGGCTGCTCAGTCACAAATTTCACTTCTCATTAGGGTTTGCATGGAGAGGTGGCAGTTTGAGTGGGTTCTTCTCTTTTCAAATATAAGTTGATAACTGTGTTAGAACATGGAATTTTAAACAAATGAATCGTAGGTGGGAGCCTTTCTCTCATGAGGGCAACCAACTTCATGATAAAAATTTAAAAACATTTGTCAACCTGGATAACACTGGAGACTTCTGCTGAAATATAAGCAAAAGAAGAAGAAGGAAAAGTGTTGAGGTTTTTTTCACAACAAATTTTCACAACTCAATTGTACTGACTTGCCTTCAATGTCTGGTCACAATCTGCCTCTGCAGGTGGGGCTGAATATTTATGTGGACATTCTGATTTCTCACTCATAGCAATATTAAAGTGGTTCCTGGGGAGGGTGAGAAAGACAAAGCAGGTTAAGCACCTCTCACAGGTGCAGCAAATACCTTTCTGTAGTTAGAAGAAATAAACATGCTGCCAGGACATGCACAGCCCCCACAGAAGCAGCTGCCCTGCCACTCCAGGGCAGGAGTTGTGCTGGGAAATACGTGAGCCTGCAGAGCACTTTAGCCCTTGACACTCCCAGTAGCGTGTTGGCAGCCCTGGCCTGAGAAGCCCTGTCCTGTTAACAAGAGCTTGTTGTCCCAGGAAAGTCTTCAGCTGATTTACTAATGGAAAGAAATGCCTCACTTGGACAAAAAGGAACCTGAGTGTGCCAAGGCACTCCTGAGGCAGGAGCCTGGGGAAAAGGAATGAGTTACTTCATCAATGTTGTTTTATAGCTTTTGTGATGGGCCCCAGGGCAGATTTGGGTTTCAGCTTTATACAGTTTTTCCTCCCCAGCTGCCTTAAAAAAGCAGAACCTAGCCCAAACTCTATGACAGCACCAAAGAAATTCAAAGCAATTTGTAGTGAAGCAGCCCTTTAATAATGTGATTTTCCATGTTTAAGCACAAGTGAAATTTCTGGTTTATTAAAGAAATCTTAATTTTTGGCTGAAAGAAAGCAGTGAAATCCAAGAGAAGTGAGCTGCAGCAGGGCTCAGGCTGCTGAGCATTGAGGATCCATCTCCTCCCACCATCCTCTGTCCCCACTGCATCAGCCCCCACCTGAAAGAACAGTGATGGACAGGATATGGTAACAGCTTTAAAGCAGGTATTGTAGCTTACTCTGAGTCTGGTCTTGCTCAGATAGCCACCAGTATTTTGTTCATGGATACTTTTGAGGTGAAACAACTGCTTGAGGCTCAGTGGTTTTCACCCCACTGGAGTGACAACCTATGCCCAAGCAATGCCCCACAAGTGGGGGCTGGAGGTTTGACCCTGAGGTGCAGCCTCCTGCTCACAGGTTGGGACAGGATCTCTAAAGGCACAGTTCTGGATATGGACATGAAATATAACTCCTCAGTCACCTCTGCATGGGCACCAGGACACTGATTTTCACTCCCTTCTTATGGAGCCACTGTGCTCAATAAGCTTGATGTAAGATGACTTCACGCAGAATCCTGTTAACACGGGAGAGAGAGAGGGAGAAACTTGCTCCTATGAAATGGTTTCAAAGCCTGATGAAGCTGTA